GTGATTTGTTTAAAAGTTAAGGAGGGGAGGGTGTTCGGGGGAAATTATAATAATATTAATTGCAAAATACATTATCATTTTGTGTGTGTGGTCATTTCTTGCTAATGCTTTTTTACACGGTTAATGACGACGAAAGAATTCAACTTTCTTTTTTATATAATAATATCTAGTTTAAGATTTTAACATTTTTAGAGTGTGTGTGTTGCATTTCAAATGTATAAAAATTAATAAAAATAAAATAATAATAAACGAATAATATCTTAGTGTCTAAAGGGATTTGGTCGTGCTTTAAATGTAGCAGCTTTTCTTAGTTCACGTATGCGCTCCTCTTCACGTCTTTTGCGTTCTTCTTCCTCCTGAAAATATAAAAAAATAGAAAGGACATACAAAGTAGTTGCATTTCACAATTGATTTACATTGTTGCTGGTTAATAATAAAAAAATATATGAGATAAAGATAATAGAGTAAAACAAAGATTAGTTTTTTTATTTTTGTTGTGTTGCGGAAGATGCAAATTTAAGATAGATAACAATAATGACTTATGGAGATTATAAATGTATTTTAAGAATTTTACACAAGGTGACACCATTAGTCATAGTTGGGAAAATAAAATTGTCATTAAAGCGTTGATATTACTCTCAAAACTTAATTTTAGGATGTTGGTGTCAAGAGAAAAAATATTCTCCGTCAAATTTCATTATAAGTCACCGACCAAGAGATTTCTCTAGCTCTACTATATAACATATAAAAATCAGTTTAAATTTGGATATTAAAATAAGAGATTGTTTTTTAGGTTAATTTTTTTTTTCTAATAATATTTCCCCCAAAACGTAATATAAGAGAGTTGGAGTCAAAGGAAAAATTATTGTGCGTCAAATTTCAATACCAAGAGATTTCTCTAGTTCTACTATGTAACATATAAAAATCTGTTTAAATTGGGATATATAAAAAAATAAATTGTTGTTTAAGGTTAATTTAAATATTTAGCAATATTTTCCCCAAAACGTAATATTAGAGTGTAAGATTCAAAGGAAAAATTATTCTCCGTCAAATTTCACTATGGGTCAACGACCGAACAAGAGATTTCTCTAGTTCTACTACATAACATATACAAATCAGTTTAAATTTGAAAATATAAAAAAAGAGAATTTTCTTTTTTAGGTTAATTTGAATTTTAACAATATTTCCACTAAAACCTAATTTTTGAGGTTTGTATTCAAAGGAAAAATTATTCTCCGTCAAATTTCAATATGAGTCACCTACCAAGAAAAGTCTCTAGTTCTATTATATAACATATAAAAATATATTTACATTTGGATATTAAAAATAAGAAACTGTTCTTTTTAGGTTAATTTTTGAACAATATTTCCATCAAAACCTAATTTTTGAGATTTGGAATCAAAAGAAAAATTATTCTCCATCAAATATCAATATGGGTCACTGACCTAGAGATTTCTCTAGATCTACTATATAACATATACAAATCAGTTTAAATTTGGATAAAAAAATAAGAATTTGCTTTTTTAGGTTAATTTGGATTTTTAACAATATTTCCACCAAAACCTAATTTTTGAGAGTCGGAATCAAAGGAAAAATTATTCTCCGCCAAATTTCACTATGGGTCCCCGAATAAAAGATTTCTCTAGCTCTACTATACATATAACATATAAAAATCAGTTTACATTTGGATATAAAAAATAGGAAATCGTTTTTCAAGGTTAATTTAAATTTCTAGCAATGTTTCCACCAAAACCTATTTTTAAGTGTTGTAATCAAAGGTCTCATAACGACTTGTTATCAAATGTAATAGAAAATATAAATTCGTGAATATGATGTCTACAATTAATATTTCCAAATATCTCAACATCCATTCGGAAGCCTATTCAAAAATAGTTTTAATGTTTGTTTTTCTTTTAAAGTTATAAAAATCTGAAAAATTATACATAAATAATATTTTCCATGTTGTATTTCCGCAAGCAGCAAATTCTACAACATATAAAATTTTAGACAGACAGACAATTTAAAATGTTAAACAACATAAGAAATGTGTGTCGCACACACATATTTCTATTCTTATATACTCCCACATAGAAAAAATACAACAAATATATTAATTAAATACAACACATAACTAATTTCCATGCAAAGACAAACATATGGATAGGTAGGTTGGTGAAGTAGGTATTCAATACAAGCTAATGAGAACACACAACGTCAACTGAAAAGGGACACACTTTTCAAACATTTTTTTCTTTCAATCTATAAACGTGAAAAAATTCCAACTCAAAAATGAACAAAAAATGCAAGACACCAGCACAAGCGGGCAAAGAAGTAACAGCAATTGGTCAAACACGAAGAGGTACACACAAGAAGCTTTTGGTGTCACACAAACAGACAGACACAAATGCTGAAAACAAATGAAAATAATTATAAAGTAGTATATGCAATATGCCAACAAGAGATACATTATATGGGTGGTACACACGAAAAAAAAGAAGTGGAATGTTATAAACAACTTATTCTGAAATTAGGGGTGTGTCTAATTTGTCGAAGGAAAAAGATCTTCGCGAAGGTCAGAAGAAGACTGTATGATATATGGACTGGAGAATAATGCTTTCTTCAAAAAACAACTGAAAACGATGCTAATTCGGCCTAGCCCAAAATTTTTAAATCCTCCTCTCCTCCTATATACAGGGTGAGATGAAAAAACTGCAACCAACTTCGGACTGCTGTCATTTCTAAGCCACTCGTCCGACAGCTGTTAAAATTATTACAGTGACAGCTCATTATATTGTTTACAAGCGTACAAAAACATTTTGGTGGGAATTTTCCACAAAAAAAGTTATTCGTGATGGAATTCAAGCGTGATAGTGTGATTTCGTTAGAGCACTGTAGCATTTAAATAGGAATAAATCTTTTGTGTCTTGTACCATCGCTCGTTACCGTGTTACTGCTAGCGTAGCCCGACGTCAAGGAAGTGGACGGAAGAAAACAGCAACATCAACTCCCTCATCGCAGTGTCCGAAAAATGGCCCGTGAGCTGAACATATTGCAATATTCCATTGGGCAAATATTGAAAAATGAGCTCGGAGTAAAGCCATTGAAGTGCAAGAACTTACACCGCAACAGAAAGAAAATGGACTCAAAAGAGCTAGAGAGATGCTTCGCTTGAAAAACGTTCGTGTTTACTTGCCAAAAAGGGCCGGCTGAAAATGTACACCTTCGGTTGACCACCAGAACTCAAGCGCCGGCCATTGTGATGGTGTGGGCCTCCGTAACAGCCGATGGTCGCTCCCCGCTCGTATTAATTGACCGTGGCATCAGAATAAATGCCGAATATTATCGCGAAAATATTCTGAAGAGTATATCAAAGCCTAGGGCACGCAAACATTATGGCCGTTAAGACCTTGGACAACAGGACTCAACACCATCGCATTCAGCAAGCGCCACCCATGTTAAAAATTGTCAGTGCACAATGGCCACCAAAATGTCCGGATACCAATCCGTTGGACAATTGTGTCTAGAGTATTTTGAAAAGCAAGGTAGGCACTACCTTTCTTGCTTCGCCGGGAATGGGTCAAAATACCGCAGAGCAACATTCGGGCAGCGTGTGACGGTTTCATTGGCCGTTTGAAGACCATAATTCGTTCCAATGGTGACCAATTCGAACAAATCTAAACTTATTCTAAACTTTGATGCCATTTTCCTACATTTTATGCTTTCATTCAATAAAATTTAAAAAATGTAAACATAATGGTGTTTGAACTTTGTTTCAGTTTTTTATCTCACCCTGGATTCAGCCGTATTGAATTGATATCACAATTCACATTTGTTCGCTCTTCCCTTTAAAGTTGTTCTAAACGTTTTATCGGATATTATGTTGATCAAATATATAATATTGACCCTTTTTGTAGGATGTATCAGAGGAGAGGGCAGAAGGGTCCCACCTTAGGACTTGATATAGGCTTGGTAAAGGTAAAAGGTTGTGCAAAGTTGGGTTCAAATCGGACATTCCATTCGCAATATATTGGATTCATAAATCTTAAAAATGTAGACCATTTGTGTGGGAGGCACCAGAAGGAGTGGAGCAATGGATCCCATCTTCGGACTTGATCTAGGGTTGGTAAAGACAATAGGTTGTGCAAAGTTTGGTTCATATCGGACATTCCTATCGCCTGATATTGGATTTATAAATATTGAAAATTTCGATCATTTGTGGGGGAGGTACCAGATGGAGTGGACCATTGGTTACCATCTTCAAACTTGGCCTAGGATTGGAAAAAATAATAGGTTGTACAAAGATTCGTTAAAATCGGATAGTCCGTTTGCATGTTATTATAACATCAAACCGGCTGAGGGTAAACAAAGTTTGGATGAAATCGGTTACTCCCTTAGAGCGTTATCGTCTGCACCAACCGGCCAGAAAGACGGACAGACGTTTGTAAATCGACTCCTAATTGTGTGAAACTGATTTGTACCAAAGAAATATGAAATAATATTTCGACGAGGAACATTTTTGTCGCATAAGGGTATAAATATCATAAATTCAGTGTTCTGCTGTATTTTTGATCTGATCCAAAACTTGCAAGAATATAATTTTTTCTGAATTTCCAATCCTTATAAATATAAATTCAAATTCTTCTTCTATTATTTTTTCTTCAGTGTATCCTTATGCATGTTGCTGATGTGTGATAGGCAAACACAAAAGTAGACAGCCATATGGCAGGCAGCAAGTGAACATAGTCACTGCAATATATTGCAAATCTAAGTTAAAAAAAAAACGTTAGGTGAAATGATGGCGATGTGAATTTAGTAGAAATGAAAAGAGAAGTAATGAAAGAAAGAAATATGGAGAAAACCTGTGAATTTATAATTAGTGAAAAGAAATGTGCTAGCAACAGCTACAAAATCTTAATCACATACACACAGAAAATTCATACATGCCAAAAGGCAGGCAGTCAGTATCAAGTAATATGGACTTGTATGCAACAGCAGCAGCACAACATGCCCCCCCCCAACACCAACCAACCAAACTGCATTCAAGGTTTAGAGTATTTGCGCAAATATTTCCGATACAGCTTAAAAATAAAACAAAGCCAACAAAATTTGCACACGAGCAACAGACGATCGACTACTCTATAGCAGGCAGCAGCAGCATAAACATCAACAACAACCTTTGGGCGGTCTCTGGGCACATTATAATATGACTCACACCCTGAATGAATTACTGAGTAATATTTTTTAGTTGTTTTTTGTTGATAAGGCAATATTATTATTGTTATTATTATAAATCATTTCGATTTTAGTTGTTGTTGTTGTCATGAATATATTTTACAAAAAAATTTAAATCTTGAAT